CCCCATAAATTCTACCGGCGGACTCGATGCGAGTAATTATTACATTGACATTACATAAGAGTATTTTAGATACGGTAGTGGTAACTCCCGTTGCGAATTTCCCTGTACTATGGCGAGGAGTATGTCTAATTGAATTTGTGAAAATCGGCAGTAACAATGAATCGATGAACACAAATGGTGCCCGTGAGCTGAGCTCATTGGTACTGCACACTTTTCAGGGCCACAAATATCAATCATTTAGACTGATAGCAATCAGATGTTTCTTCATTAGCGTGAATTGTAATTTTGCGAAATGGAAAATGGAAATTTCTGTCAATAAATAGACGTGGTAAAGCGAAATTTAAAGGCCGCCGCTGACGGTTAAACTTGAAATGGCTGTGTTTCCTAACTGCTAGATGGGTATGAAGTAAAATACTTTTCTGCGTAGTCTATATCAGCCAACCGTTGGAACATTTTGTTAGCAGTTATGTCAACCAGAAGTCGATTCCTAGCCGATGCTACGAAGTACAACCTTCTCAAATGTGCGTTCATCACTTCTCAGTATTAATCATCTGCATAGACCGTTCTTGCTTATTTCTGTCAGGTTATGTTTAGAACTACGTTGATGCTGTCCAACATCTCTGAAGGCAAAAAATCAGCATTTAAATCTAAGAATAACCAATTTGCAGTTATTCCTCTAGTGCAATTTGTAAGCTGGACATTCCCATGATCACGGTATTTTAATTCGAAATTAATGGAGGTCATAGCTCCGCCTGTTCTATTACCTCTCAACTGCGTTTAAAAGGATTGCGTTACAATTATTTAATGGGATAAATTATTTGCTTTGATGCATTCTTTCACTTTTCTTTATTATAATGTCTTCTTAACGTGGGACGCCCCAATAACTTTCGCTATCAGTGACAAGAATTTTAACAATTAATTTCCTGAGCTGGTCACAAATAACGTTCCCAAGGAGGATCGCTGCAAGTCGACTGCGTGCCCTAGGTATATTTATGTTATTGAAGGTTGCCAGATAAGGCCACTGCGACCTGGCCCCATACCGGTATGCGTGAAACGGATGACGTGAACGCTAACGAGGTTAATAACATGAATTTTTCGTTGTTTATCTCTTCAGAAATGAATGCGCAAAATTGCGGGAAGTGCTTCGGGTCAAACCTTTCTTCACGTGATCCGAACTTAACTATGAATGTTCTACCTTGAATTACTTGAAGTGAAATTATCGCCTAAAAATCACAAGCTGAACACAGGCAGTCAAGAGAAATTACTGGAAAGGGTGTTAACTGTATTCGGAGTCTGGATTAAAATCCACTATGAGGGCCTGTGCAGCGGGTTGCATCGCGTGTGCAGTGTACCTTTCGCAATTTCTCCCGGCCCCTGCTTTGCTAATTTACGACGCCGTTTATTTCTGGGCCGGCGAAATCCGTGCTAATGATGCATGCATATATTTTTAGTAGAACGGATAATTACGCTTCCGCTTTTCGTTACCAATAGTAAAATTAGTAACATTGGACTATTCATTAGGCCATAACCTACGCATTAGTTAACATGTCGACTAAGTCACACCCCTTTGAGGGATAACTCTAGAAGAAGGTGTGGTCGGCACTCTTCTTTTTAGCTGAGAGCACCGATGTGTACTTCGTAGTGCGTCATTCATCGAGCGGCTATCGCCGTTCTTCGTTCCGGTCTGTTTATCCTCGAACATTCCAGAGTACTACCTAAGCGGACTCACCCGAAAAGACCGTGAGTCACAACTCGGGGATGAAGATGGGGTTTGTTTTATAGATTGTTTAGATTGCGAACTTTGCACTATGTAGGCCATCGTCTGCTGTATAAAACATGAGATTCTGTATTTTTAGAAAGCCTTTTATAGCCTCTTCACGAGGAAACCAAAAATGCTCCCGAAATTTGGCTGTTTGGACATCTCAGACGGCTACAAAACTGC